AACCATGAATTGCACATACACAAATAAACCTTGTGGAAAAATGTCGTACGCCTTTTCTAGCCCCTAAACACATTTGGCTAGTGATAGCATGGACTTGTATTTGGCTCTGCGTCAGTATTGCAACGTTAAAGCCAATAATAATCGCTGTGAAGTATTCGGTGGTGACGAGACATTTGCAACCAAACCATGCGGTTTAGCAAACGAAGCCATGTGTGATTCCTCGGGGCGAATTAGAGAAGGAAATGTGCGTTTTGTGTGAAAACCCAGAGTTAGACCAAATGCTCAGAGACTAGATTTTCCTCCAAACACCATCGATACAGGTACAACGAGCAGTGATAATGAATGAAAAGAAGCACTAGCAACAGTAGTGCTCTAAAGCATGATAATTCCGTCACAGTTTCTGAGCCATTACAACTTGTATGCACGCAATTGTATTGTATACAGAGGAACAGAGCAGAATAAATGCAAACCTCTAAACAAGGACTTTAAGGAGCAACAGAGTGCCAGTAGGCCTTTTCGAAAGAGGCTGCCCAGACGCATATCTGGATGGGCAGTCAGTGTAAAAAAAACAAGTTCCGTTTACTGGACACCAAGTGAACTTGCACAATACTTTAAGACACTGAAGTTCAATAGGGCCGCCCTGAGAGGACACACTTTACAATTTTAAGGCTTAGTTGGATTCAGTGGGGCAGCTTCATCCCTAGTTCTTAATTTCACTGCATGAGACAATGGGGTTGTGAGCTCACTATTGTTACTTAGAGGTATCATCGAGCTAAAGATAGCGAAAGGGTTAAGTCGCAAGGCTACTAACCGGAAGGTTAGAGATTAGGACCCAAACCTGTCCTTCTGATTGTAACTTGGGCAGCCCAGTGGTACGTTGACCACCATGTCAACCACTGGAAAACAACCGAGCAAGAAGGAAGCTAAGTCAAAATTCGAAAAGCAGCAGCGCAACAGCAGAAAAGGGCTTGCGGATGTAGGTTCGTTTGCGGCAAAAGTAAAGTTGCATGGGTAAAAAGACTAGCAGAACAGAGGGACAGGAAAACATTTTCAACTTTATCTAAAAGTTACCTGTTTAAGATTGGCGAGTAGAGGTCGGCAAACCGGTGAGGCCGAATCAGGTGAAACACACGCAAAAGCCGATGCAATGGTTTTCATCTAAAATCCAAAGAAATAACGTTGGATTTATTCCCACAAGGTCTAAACAAATTGTATTTGGGGGAACACAGCAGAGAAACCTTTGTGGTCACAGACTAGGAAAATATATTATACTCCCGTTGTAAGTGTTTGTTTCAGCAGCATATTCACTTACCGGCACCTACAGGAATCCACACAAAGGTCTTCCACTGTATTGTAACTTTAGTGCTTCGCCCCATAACCCAGTAAGTTGGCGATCGGTGAGTACGTAGATGTACCAGAGATACACGGTGAATGTGGCCATTCAATAGTCTCACTGTCTAAAATCATTGTTGCCTACTTTTCACTACCACCACACCGCTTGAGGATGGCACAAGCAACTCCGTCGAATGATTATACGTCAGTCCACTACACGGAAGTCATTTAAGTTGGCTTATTTGTAGCAAGAAATCTCGCCTGATTCTTTGAAATGAAGTGAAATCATGTCAACCTGAGAAACGTTGTCGCTTTCAAGCTGTAACTGATACCTGAACGTATCTTGCACGTAATTCCAGTGAGCAACTCCACCGTCTTGCCGGCATGTGCAAAAGCGGCAGTCTTGATATGATAACGAAAAATAGGTTCATAATCGTTAGTGTGTTCACAACGACAGAACAAGATAAGCCAAATGTACGCAGTGCCATCAACATGGTTGATGCAGTCGAACAGTGGAAGATCTCGCCAAAATGCACGGTATAAGAGAAAAGCCGGGTGAGGTCAACCTGGCAATATCTCAACCCTCTTGCTTTCTTCGGGTAGCAAGGCGGCTAGGCACAGACTGAACGATTATTGATCATTTTATTACGATCATAACTCTCAAGACTGATATTTCAGGACCTCAGTTTCCCCAGCACGTTTCACCTTAGTTCCGGAAGTATATAGAAGCAAACGCAACAATCTGAGTTTTCCATAAGTATTGTGCGTAGAGCGGATTACTCGTTGTTGAAAACTACTCCTTCTAACACTAAACGGTAGTCCCTAAACAGGCATATTATAGTAAAACAGGCAATTAATTTTTGACTGACTTGAATATGAAAATACGCCACGAAATTTACGAGGCGAATTGACTGAATAAGGTTACACAGATGGGTGGAAATGGAGGGACTTGGACTAATCATGTAGGATTGTTCCAGCATTATAGCAGAAGGCGTTCGATCACATCCAAGCGCAATAACCATGAACAGAAATGAATCACTCACGCATTATAGCAGAAGGCGTTCGATCACATCCCAGCGTAATAACCATGAACAGAAATGAATCACAGGAAAAGGGCCGCGAGAAATTTGAAAGCAGACTCAGCATAAAAAGAAGAAACATACAGTTGGTCACTAGAAAAGAGGCAAACGAACTCACCCAGTCAGGGTAGGGTTGACTAAACTGCAACGAATCGCAATTCAGCCATGCGTACCAAGCACGGAGTGTTGCGAAGGAGAGCAACGGTGATGCTTCCGGATTCGATTGAGTGGCTTCCAAACAGCAGGAGGCTAGCCACTGAAACAAAGATGACTATATGCAGTGATACAGTAAGACAAAGTAATCTAGAAGTAAATGGTTTACAAGAGAGAATGCCTTTGACCTAGAAGGCAGTGTGTCTGATCTGCAGACACATTGAAGTAAATAAACGCTCAAGTCAAAGAACAGCCTTATGCGCCCGAAGTGTTTCACGCGGACTATCGTAGTCCTTCTACAAAACCTCAACTTAAGGTAAGGCCAAAATGTTTAAAGCAAGATTGTACTTGCCTCCATTCACGAACTCCACTAGCCCTCGGCACCTTTGGCTTTCCCTTGTCATGAGTGTTTTTTCATTAAGAATTAACTACTGATGGATACACAGTAGCGAAGATATGTCTGATTACCGGTTTTGCCGAAAAAAACCCAGAGAACTTAATTTTCGGAAAAGTATGGTAACAATCGGTGGAATTTACTTCATACGAAGCAGTGCAACACACAAAAAACGGTCGGAAAGTCTTCTATGGACGGGGGTTGAACGGGAGCTCAGGCAGGAGAAGAAAATAGTCGCTTGGCAGACTGATCCAGAGAATACACGATCATTCAGCTTTTCCGCACCAGCAGAACAGATGACAAAAGTAAAGCCAATAGTACATTAACAAACGCAGGTGAGACCTCCGGAACTTATACAGTGAGTGAGGATAACAAATAAAAAGTTGGGATTCCGCGCCGTTGTAGTAGGACTGTGCTGGAACATTTAACCAACAGGTAATGTTATAGCTCCGCGTGGAGACAAGTGGAAACAAGAGTGAAGTCTAAGCAAGCACGCAGACGAAAATCATGGGTGCGCTTGGGGATGAAGTAAACTACACAAGCACCACAACATACCTGAAGAAATGGACGCGTTTCCGTAACTTGCGATGGGATATTCCATTGCATAACTAAGGAAGAGAGGGCTGTGAGGGGACGCTGAGGTGCTGACAATAGAACCGGAGCACAAGGAACGGTCGTAGTACGTGTTACAGTGTCCCCAAGGGAAGCTGAGGCCTTTAAAAAGTAAGCCGTTAAGCGTACAATGGTAGGAGCATTCGTTTCCTTCCACGACCAATCCATGGAGCTGACGAATCGGAGAGCCAAGGCCTGTGGAAAAAACACCGAATGGCAAAACTCTAGGAATTATCCAACCACCAAAATAAACATTCATTATCGGATAAACCGGAGTTCCAATTGTGTAAAGATCAATTAAGGATGCACGGAGCAGAGATTTAGCATTAAGAAACAGAATCTTGAAATAGATCACCTCCTAAGTAGAATACAGTCACTTGCCATTATGTGGAATCACCTGAATGGAAGGAAGTGAGCAGCCGTGTGAGGAATGGACGGTGCACTGGGTGCTGTCCGCAAATAAACCCATTAGTCTGTGTGAAGTTCCATAACACGGGGCAATACTGGGATTAAAAAAGCAGCATAAAACTTCACTAGGTTGAGCCTTTTGGAGGTGACTAGACGGACCACAATGTTATCACTTAAAACAAATTGCCATGTGCAAGATTCCTCTACCGTTAAACCTATAAATTGGCTAAAAGGCTAACTTTTTGGAACTCTCCATTTGGTGCCCCTAATCGTGGGATATTCGAAGGATTGCCATTCAGCTGGAGTATGAAACGACCCCACAGTTAGCTTCATGTTGGGACAACTCTCTGCACAAACAAATAATGAGACGACCTTAATCGTCCTTAGAAGTGTCCTTTCAATCCAGCTAAGACCTTTGTATGCGAGAAATACACTCATTTGCAAATCAATTTGGTTTTCACGGGAGACTCAGTTAGCTTCATGTTGGGACAGCTCTCTGCAAAAAACAAATAATGAGATGACCTTAATCGCCCTTAGAAGTGTCCTTTCAATCAAGCTAAGACCTTTGTAGTTTTTGCAATGCAATGCAGAATTTTTCATAAGCACAATTTGGAAACTAGGAGACAACTGCCAGTCAAAATGCAAACGTGCAAACTCACAGTCTCTACTGTCAACTCAATATCCCAGTCCTTTTTCAAAGAATGCCTTTCAACTGTTCTCACCAAACCAATCAACCTTTGGTCTAGCTGTTCTTCCAGCATTGTCTGTGCCGGCTTCTGCAAACGTGACAAGGTCAACGGCACAAAACGCCATATCAATGGAGCCTGATGTTCGGTAGCTGGATCCAATAAGTTAGGCAGCGCAGCCTCTCTGAGAGGATACCTCTCAAAAAACTGACTCTGAAACGAACAAAAAGTCTGACATCAGTGATGGGAACTGTTGCCTAAAGCAGGTTACTTTGGGCAGTGTTGTCGAATAATGTTCACAACGTACGACAATAGACTGAACAGTATGTCATTCCCAGTCGAACAAACCTTGACGACGTCCCTTATGCGGGCCCAGTGGATATGACAGCAGGCTTGCATCGGACGACCTAGATGCGATTTTAAGTGAATACCTTAAAAATGGCTAACGATCCTGGTTCCTATCCAACTGAACTACTCTTCCACATGTATTTTACGGACAGAGAACGGGTTGGGGTGGGTGGAGTTTCGTTAGATGGAGCTGTCACCATGAAAGCACAAATAACTAACTAATGGATGCCTTCTTAAACAGCCCACCTGTGAATAACAGGATACTGGCACGTCAAACTCATAACGCACACCAAAAAGATTGCATTCAATGCTTACACTAAATAGTACCAATTTCTCCTGTTCAGCGTGACCGGCACACTGAGCATCAAATCCGACTTTTCCTACCCAAAGTCTGTCGATGATGAAAGTGACGTCATTCGTAAGAAATTACTCTTTCTAGTGACACAATTCCTGGATTTTGGATGGCTGTCTTCGCTGCTACCAAGCTGATACCGCAACCGTTGTTGAACGATCAGAACCGAGGTCGACACAAACGTCCATCAACTGATGAGATCAGCGATGAGCGATGAATGAGGTGTATGCAACGGCATGGAAGTTTGCCTTTACCGTGTCAAACTATTCTTCCTTCTCTGTTTACGGTAACTTTCTCTGGGTCACAAATGAGCGGGCCCTAGTGTACTCACCGATCACATCAGCCCAGTCTTGGCGACATGGTACGAGATCAACGAATATATGGATCCACTCTTTCGCCCACCAAGACGGGCCGTGAACGTGATGGGAACTCAACCCATTGACATCTGCCTTGGTTGCATTGAACGATGTTTTAACTTGCTCACCAAGTCGACACGCCAGTAACAGCATGACGAAGCTGAAAGCGTTTGCTCCTTTTGTTCCATGGGTAGCTTCGAGTTGATCGCCGTATCAGCAAATCCAATCGGTACATGGAGAGAAGCATATTGCTGCTTCGCTTACATTCACTTGATTTTTCGCAGTGTGTGACTAGACAATTGTGGCCAACGGTCTTTGGGCATTAAAGCAGAAGCGTTTCTGGAACATCTTGATTGAGAGAGATTATACCCCACCAATGATCTAATCCACCAGAGTCAAGCAGATATCTTCGGCTCGCAAGTAACGTTTTGCATCCGTAGGGTAACAAAGGATAAATGACGGATTGGTAGACACGGAGCTCGGTTCCCGAAAGATGATCCCGTATTGATTTCCCAACTGAAGGTAACTCGCTCTGATACGACTAACTCAGTTGCCAGTTTCCACAAAAGCTTGCTCGTTCAGATCCATATACTTGGAACCCGAATATTTGGAAGAGTCCATTGACTCAACCATTTCTTGTCTATTTCAGGCAGGCAAAGAGATGAATACCGGGCTCTATAGTCTCTGTTTTCCCACACTGACTTTAACCGAAATATTGGCGACATACTGGTCAGTATGTTCTCAGAACACCAAACTACGAATAATCCGCAGACGGTTCAAAACCTGGAAAGCTTACAAGTTATTTTATAACAATTTGAGAGTTTTAAACACGTGCTCGAAATCGAGAAGGCTAGTAGCTTCGTTTCCTTTATTGCTCCCATGGTGCTTCACGCGGTACTCGCACATTCTCCGCCACAAAACGAGTCACTATGTATATGCAATATCGGTTACTTACATCCCTGTATTCTTCTTCACTATCGCTAGTGTTGAAGTTTAGATGCTTGAAAAACCTTTCTACAGATAAGGTGTCTACTCTCCGTACACCTGAAAGGACTCCGATACAGAAACTACTTTGTTTCGTATGTGACTACACAATGTAGGAAAATAACCCATCTGGATACTCCAAACCATCAAATCACTGGAACACAGCACAAACAGAACCTTAATTCCACGAAAGAAAGCCATCTCCAACGAGAAAGCTAAGGATATTTCATACAAATACGCTACTGTGGCTCATCCGAACAGCCAGTGATTTTTACGGCATTAATAAATCGCTGACGAGAAGAGGTCAAGGTATCATATGCTGTTCCTACAGCAAGTGTTAATATTCAGCGAAAACTGTCTGGCATTGTCTGGACACTGCTAAGAATTTACCTGCTGTTTCGGTGTCAAGAAAACCAGAAACCGTGCCAAAACCCGACCCAATCGATCCAACCGCATAGCCACTCGTTCCGACAATGTCCCCGCGTCCGAACTGCTACGCACAGCCATTTGTTGTATCGCTGAAGCGAACAGATTGACATAGTGCCAGCAGAGCTCCCCGGGTCCGTACCTGTAAATCAGAAAATCAGCTGTCACTCAAGTACAAGGTGTATCCTGTTACATTTATGTGCAGTAATGCGGTTAAGAGCAAATGCACGTAAAAAGACGCAGGTATGCGAGCTGCTTAAGCTCACTAGCCTGAAAAACGTTCAGCACGAGGATTTCCGTATACACTTGCAGGGGCATTGAACGGCGTTGGAGGCTACGACTACAGGAATACGGGGATGTATTCAGTAAACAAGACTTAAGATATAAAATTACAGAAGGCATCTGGAAAAACCCCTCAGATGAAAAGCTCGATGGCAGACTGCTACAAGCTAACAAGTTCCCTCCATCCACTGACCAACCGAGTGATCACTTCCTTCTAAACTGTACAATCGAGTGCTTGGAGGTTTAAGAATCCCAGAATTCTTGTGATGGGGGTACCACCCGCATCCTCTTTCTGTTGACAATCGTTTTGTGGTTGTACAGCTATAAAGCACGACGAACAAGATTGCTGCTGTCTCCTGCTACGCCGATGAAAGTCATCAAGAGCAACGTGGTAGGGAAAACGCAGGAGTGACAGTATCCTCAACCGGTCACCGCACGATAATGCTCAGTCCCTTCGTAAGCAATAAATTACCAATAAACGACCGCGTGGCCACAATGAAGGAAAAAGATATACAGTCTGCCGAGGCCTGCAAAAGTGAGACGAGGGATTCCTGAAGCTGGTCATCTTTTTATTTCCGTGCCTAGGAAAATATGGATGCAGTCGAGAAGCCTGTGTCGCATGCATGATAATCATCGCTTGTACGGTAACACAGTGTCTAATAAAGTAACGTTTGAATTCCCACACGTGACATTTATCAAGAAACAAAAGAGGGTTTGTTTAGAAATTTCGGTTAAGTCCGTGGTACATGTTATCCATGATAGACTCGCTGTGGTTTACATCATGTTTCCCACCCAAATTCCCACGGCTGTACCCAGGATCCAACAGGCTAAAGGACTTACCGGGCTAAGAAGCACCAAACGTCCGCAACAAATAAATTGGTCCACGGATGGTTGACAAGTAAACCCCGCAACAGTGCCTGTTCCTAGGTAAAGAAACAGGGGTAAGGTTGAAGACGCCAGGAGCCATAAAAACTGCAAAAAAGAGTTCGGTTGAAAAGAAGTACAAATTCATGTGTTTTAAGATTCTCCTCCTGTTTAACTTTGATTGATTCCTTTAAGACATCCACGGAGCTAGAGATGTACGCACAAGTAGATAATCCCTGCTGGCATTAGAATAAGGGTGGTTGTCAATGCCGCAGCAGTTTCAGAACTAGTTGAGATGAGTATTCCCTCAACAAAGGAGCACACAAGAAATAAGTGTAACCACGCGGCAGCTTGGCTTCCAACAAGAGCGACAAACTTGTGGTGTTACATTAACCGAGCATCACAAATGAGAAAAGTTCACATTAGATACAGCAATCTCGCAGAGAGATGCTGCTCCTTTGAAGACAGAATACTACCACAGTAAACACTTCCCACTAGATTTAATAGGATTTTCTATATTCAGAGAAGTCAAACTGCAGTTCCCTAAAGAGCAATTTTACACCCCTGCGAAGGTCACTAACCGCATGATCTGCGGGAAAATCCATGCGTAAAAAACGATAGAATACAAGCGAACCACCGGCTACCTCCAAACTCCTAGGAACCAGGGTGAACTGGCTAAATCCAAGTCGAACCCAGATTGATCGATCAGCAAATGGTGCAAAAAGGAAGTGTGAGGGCTTGGTGCAAAAAGTTGAGTACTCTTGAAAGTGCACACAGCTTTGGTTGAAAGAAGCACATACGTGTATTACGTTGGACTAAGTGACCATCAGTTATATAGACCCAACATCATTTGTAGATCTCACCCAACACAACAATCAATGTTAGTTTAGTAGACCGGCCACAACGTGACACCATTTTTGCCATCTGGTTACGTGCTATGTATTTTACGGGGATTAAAGTCACCTTCATGGAGAAACAAGGCAGGAGGGCAGGGGATCCACCAAATACTCAGTTTGCCTGTAGCCACCCCCGTTTTGCGTTGCGGTAACCTAAACCTTCGCTAAAGATTTCGGAAAAGTGGCGGATAGTGTACTAGCACTCGCAGTACGTGTCCTGACCACCATATTCTGATAAGCCTCGTTTGCAGACCTAGCGTTACTGATTCGAAATATGAGGTTACACACTATTCCATTGCGGACAGGATGTGATCAGCTAACTCCCACTATATCGCACCGCTGATAAATCATAAGCAATCTGACTTTAAAATCAAGGTACATTTCGGGTGTACCTTTTTCATACTGCCATATCAGAAGTCAACCTAGGACACAAACGTGAGCTGACTCTCATACTCCAGAACGGGGAATCCTGTATGGAGGAAATACCCATCAACAAAAATTGCAAAGGTACCTGTGAAAGGAGGAAAGTCCTTCGCCGCGGAGTCGTTCATTAGAAAACACCAACTTAACAGTCAAAAACTAGTGAACAGGAAAGTAAACCTCTCGTATGCACCTTGTTTTTTTTATAAAAAAAACTTAATACGTCTTCTTCTTTAACGCATCTTTTTGAACTTTCCTGGATACTCATTGAATATCACGCAATTGCAAACGAATGCTGCAAGGCATTTCCACAAATTCTGTAATAAACCCCACCTTCCATTGGACGCGAAGCGGAGTTACTAGAAAGCCAAAGACTACTCACACGCCTCATCAGTAGTATCTACCGTTGCACTTGTATCGTCTCTTCTGTGTATGGAGCGCTTGGGAGGACTGCAGACCTCAGGCTGTCGCTGGGTTGTTGAGGGGGAACCTTACGCACGCAGTGATAAAATAGTCGAGTGAAGAGTCACTCAACGAAGTAAACAACGAGGAACGATGGACTTAACACTACCAGCATCCTCCGCATTGTCAATGTTCACAAATGTCAAGTGCTTGTGAGTGGCTTGTTTGATGCCATGCATGCTTATCAGGACGATGCCACTAACGTGAGGTTTCTGTGAGACAAAACTGCCGAATCATTCACCTCTGTCTCACCTCCCACCCGCTTAAGGAACGAAATACCCCAATCAAGCCAGAATAATGCACTCCTTATGTACACCGAACGATGTACTTACAATTTCGGTTTTATTCTGGTGCATATATTTCAGAACTCAGTATGTGACGGTGCATGTGTACGTAAACCTGTCACACCTTGTTTCAGGCGTAGTTTACTTCGACCGTTCAGTTAACCGAAACAAATGTGTGAAGTTTTGTCACATATTCAACAAGAATACGACAGAAATCAGTGAAGGCTTTTGACTCACAAGATAGTGGTAGCAACCGGCTGGTAAGGCGCAAATGGATGCACACACTTGCTTCAATAGAGATGTGTAGAATTCAGTCGCCAGGGCTGTTAAGGAATCCCCAACAGTGTCTGAAAAACAGAATACAGCACTTTACTCACAAAGAATGAAACAAGTTCAACTTCAAGCTGAGTGAAGTGATAAGTCGAGAATGAAACTTTAATAATTATGTGGGATCTCGATCGGCTTCAGACCTTTAGCAGGGATAAGCACAGTTTGGACATCGATGGTCAAAAACACAACTTCCAGATGCCACAGGCTGATACTGAGGCTCATTGTTGACAGACTGCTGACATAGTAATCAGGCCATTCCCACAAAAAATAATCATACCGAGAAGATAACTTAAACTGAGGGGATTTGCTTCCGCTGCAGTGCTTGGTCAAGGTACGCGGCACAAAAAGCGGTTTCCGAATGACCGACAAAACCGGTGATGAGCATTACCACGTTGCACTGGTATGTCCAAACAAAGCACGAGAGTATTGAATGAGTGCTGGAGGTATGAAGTAATCTTTCGTGGCAGAGTGGAGTAATCCATTGTACTTTACAAAATAAGTTTAAAACATCCGGATAAAAAATAAAATCACATTATTTCTGTCCCAAGAGCAAGCGATAGGGATCTTGGTGACAGCCCTCTCTTATAAGGGATCACTCTCGTCAAAAAGGTATTTTTCTGCCACTCGACGGTGCCTTCACGAAAAGGAAATAATTTGAGGGAAAATCAAGCTGGCGAAAGTGATTGGCGCTGTAGATGTCTCGCAGAAACTTCGCGTTATGCGCCACTGGAGCGTGGGCAGCTGAAACCTACGAAGCACATGAACCTTGGTACGTTCTTGTAGGAGTTTACAATCAAACATGTCCAGATTACCTTGTACAAGTCTCATTCATGACTGAAATGGAACAAGGAATAAGAGACGTGTTCCCGATCGAAGAGGTCTGTGGTGACCTGGCGGTATCACAGACATCATCCTTACTACGAGTTGTACTGCAGCTACGCAATGAAAGGTTTGTTACTTTCTCTTGCTTTTGTTTTCTAATTCGCTCGACACAACGAACCGAAGAGAAAGCAAAAAAACTGACCACGAGAATGAAGTGTATCGAAGACTGGAAGCCTGAAAAGGGAAAGGGCAGGACACAAAAAATATCACTTCCAGATTGGAGTAGTTAGTTATGGACGGCGCAGAATGGTGGGTCTAGTGAAGTGATGGTAAGCTCACCAGCATTCGATTCGTCATTTATTGGGATTTCGGTATTGATCTGAGCGCAGGTGGTGAAAAATTCTGAATAAATATTGAACTCCTCGCCAACCCAACGACTGTAGAAATCTGTGGGGAAAGGAAAACAGAATGAAAAAGGGACTAAGCTAGACA